GCGGCGGGCGCCGTGGCTACGGCTGAAGTGACCGTGGAGGACGCCGAGGCGCTGCCAGCCGCAGCGGGGGAACCGGAGCCCGACGACGACGCGGAGCTGCGGCCTCGCGGCAGGTGAGGGCTGCGGACCCGGGACGCACGGTGGTGCTCGAGAACCGAGGAGGGTCGGGGTCCCCCTGGCCCGGCAGCCAGTGAGCGACCTGCGGGCAAGCAAACAGCTGCGACATCTTCCTGTCCTCCGGCTCCGAGCGCCCGCCTGGTCCTTGGCCGTAGGGCTGTTGCAGCATCCTCAAAAGAAGGTGGAGGATGCTTGGAGAACCGAGCGCAGAGCTTAGAAAGCAATGTCACATTCCCTCTTTCATTGTTTTCGCGTTTATCTGTCCTCCCGGTACCCTCTCCCTTCCTCGTTTCCATATGTGAAAAGTCCTATCTCGAGATTGATACGATAACTGTTTTGAGAAAGGACTTTGTAAACAGATGTCTACGTTTTTTCCTTCAATACAAGCCCACTGTGTACCCGATGAGGTTGTGATCTCTGTTTCTCTAATTGAGGTCTGTGAGAACACCTGCATCAGAATTGCTTCGGGATGCCGGTTAAATGGGTAGTTTTCTAGGCTCCGCCCCAATTTTACTCATCCAGATGTTTTCTGGGTAAGAACCCTGAATCCGAAGGTTTAAGAAGCACTCAGGAACAGTTCTTGGACACATTGAAGTTTAAGGGCTGTGGCTAGATTCTTGTATACTGGCAATTCGTTGATATTTACAGGGTTTACCATATAAACAAAATATAGTTTATTTCAGTTGAGTCGTCATGAAATGTAAAATATGCTAATGATAAAGTCATTTGAAGACAGCCAGTCAACACACCTGGAAAGTGATGACACTAGCAAATGGAATGATAAAAGGAGCATTAGCCAGATTAAGCCAGGAAGGGCCAGATCTGGGGTAGAAAGTATTAAGCTTATAACATGGTAATTACTAAATCATAACAAGTTAGATTTAATTTTCAATTAAGTATCAGAACCTTGATACATTTACTTGGAGACTATTTTATAAATAGGCAAAGTATTAAAACTCTCTGTACACCGTTTGAATGTTTATATTTTTAAAGTTTTAAGTAGCAGATGGATAATGAAATTTTCTTAGATTTGCTGAGGCTTCAGCTCTCCTGGAAGAGCAAAGCAGCTGCTCAAAGTAAATTACATAGAATAAGATGTTTTTCTTAGAATGCACACCTATGGGGGCCAGAGAGATGGCTCAGTAATAAAACAACAACAACAACAACAAAAAAAAAAACCTATTGCTCTTGCAGAGGACAGTTCAGTTCTCAGCACCCACTTCCAATTGCTCACAACCACCTATAGCTCTGTTCCAAAGGATCCAATGCCTCTGACCTCCATGGGTACCTGCAGTCACAAGCACACGAGCATGACTCTTTTTTTTTTTTTCAAAAAAGGAATAAGCTGGGCTTGGTGGTGCACGCCTTTAACCCTACACACACACACACACACACACACACACACACAAAAAAAAGAGAGCTGGAGAGATGGCTCAGAAGTTACAAGCATGACTGTTCTTGCAGAACCCAGCACCCACATGGTGGCTAACAACCATTCATAACTCCAGTTCTAGGGGATCTGACACTCTCTTCTGGCCTCTTGCACAACATGGATGTACTTATAAACATCGGAGCATAATACATGCATAATTAAAAAAAAGAAAGAAAAATGCCTATCAGCAGGTGCTTACTGCCCCTGGGAGGAGCATGCAGTCCAGCAGTGGGATGGAACAGGAGGCCTTATTGAAGAACAGAGCAGTTCAAATTAAGTGTCCTGGGTATCCCAAAGTTTCTGTGGTGTTCAGTGGGTGGGGTATGGTAAGGTGCATAAGAAAATTCTACGACACAATGAGTTGTTTCTTAAGAAGTGGGAGGAGTTCTGACAGATGTAGACCTTGAGGCCAGAGCCACAGAGACTGTAAATTGTATTAAGATAATATTTTGTCCCTATGTATACTTTGTGTGTGTGTGTGTGTGTGTGTGTGTGTGTGTGTGTAGAGAGAGACAGAGACAGAGACAGAGACAGAGACAGACTGCTAAATTCATCATTACTTGGGAACATGTTAGAATTCCAGAATCAGGTACTATCCCAGACTCAATGAACCAACATCTGTATTTGAACAAGATTGCCATATGATTCATATACATATTAGTTTGAGAAATGTTATATAGAGTATTTTGAATTGTAGGTCTAATCAAAGTTATGCTGAAATATTTCTCTAGCAACAGTGTCTGTGGAAACTAGAGGTGAGGCTATCAAAAGCAGAGTATTATAGCAGTTCAGTGTTACATGCTATTTAACAGGACTGATGTGAGAGATAGTTGAGGCAAATTCAGCATAGGTACCGTTTAGCGGGGACAGGAAAGAAAAGGTATGGCATTTGAGATTGGACATGATGACTCAAAGGTGTGGCCAGGACATCAGAGAAAGATTGGTAGCTAGGTGGGAATGTGTGACTGGGCAAGAGGGAGGTCAAGGCAATAGCTGAAGTTAGGAGAAAGCCTCAGGAAATGCCTTTATCTTATAGAGAATGAGGAACCAGGAGAGGAAACAGAAGCACAGCTGACTAGGTTGGAGGTATAGGACAGGGTCTGGAAAGAGGTAGACTTGGTGGTGAGCACACTTAATAGTTTGAGTAAAATTGCAGAGATAACAGATTGCAAAAGGGCATGATTCCTCCCTTTCTGCCCCACTCCCTCCTTTCCTCACTGATCGACTGTGAGGAGGGAGCCTGTACAGACGGGCTGAAAATTAAAGGAAGAGATGAAGGTGAGCCAGGCATGGTGGCTCCTGCTTGTAATCTTGGGAAACGAAGGCAGAAGGATTGTTGTGAGCTCTGGGCTACAGACTGAGGGGATCATAGTTGGAGAGATCTACTTGTCAATCCAGAAGAGCACTTTTTTTCCCATTATAAACAATAGTGAAAAATAGAGGAAATTTGCTTGGAAGAAAGTGCATGATCCCTGGCAAGCAGAATTGATTGGGAAAAAATGCCAAGTCTGCCTAATAAGTGTCAAATTAATGTAATTTGAACAGATGAGAAGCTTGGGTGAGTTGGGTCAACAGGAGTTGAATATGCAAAGTTTACTAAAAGTTTTTTCTAAGTGCTCTTTACGAAAGTAAAAAATCTGAAAATATCAGTTCCATAATAATAGAGCAATATCCTGTTTGTTTCAAGGAGAAGAATTAGAGGAACAGATTTGAGTTAACCAAGCGTTTACTACAAACAGCTGTGAAGAACTATGGTGCGTGCAAAACTCTTAAACAGAGGGAGGTGGGGAATTAAGATCTGTATTATTTTTTACCTTGTCTTTTGATGCTTAAGAAGCAAGATGAACCCTACCAGTACATTTTTTCTCTCTTGATAGAATTTCTTGTATTTCATTGGTGTCACTCAGCATGTTCGCTCTGGGTCTCAAGTATGTGACTGAGAATAAGCATTCTTCTTTCCAAAAATGTAAACCTGTTTCTCTAGTAGCAGTATTATTTTGGGGTTTATTTTTATTATTCTAAATTATAAGTATGTGTCTGCATGTGGATATGTGCACGTGAGTGCAGGTGCTCCCAAGAGGCTGGAGGTAAAGGTATTGGATTCCCCTGGAGCTGGAGTTACATGGTTATGAGCCACCTAGCTGAGTGCTGGGAAACAAACCCTGGGTCTTATACAAGAGCAGCATGTGCTTTTAACCTCTGAGCCATGTCTCCAGCCCCCTCTAGTAGCAGTCTTGTCAGCCTCTTGTTAGGCATTGTTTAATTAAACTTTAAATGGTATGGCCACCACAGAAGGTTTGGAAGAGAGCCTTAATCACAACTTAACTGTTAGGTTTTATGGACACTGCCATAGTGTATGTTACCAGCTTTCTAATTGCCACACAAATAGCAAATTGCAAAGTGTTGCTTAGGGTTCCTGCAGTGGGTTGTACGTCTTCACAATGAGGACTTTCTGATAACCTCAGAAGTTGGAAATAGCTAGTTTCATCTTGCCTGCCACACTCATTTGTAAAATATATTTCCCTTTTCCTTGGTCTCTACTTCCTAACAAAAGTATTACTAAAATTGACATTTCTTTCTGTTGCTTAAATATTCCATGCACCTGCAAACAGAATTTTTTGGATTGAGTAAAATAATGTCAGACATTTTGCAAATGTAAGATGATTTAATTCCTCTTTATTTCTCTTCCCTCTCTGTCCTTTCCCAAACTGAGCTGATAAGAAACAAAGGTACAGAAATCTGGTCTTCCTCAGATTTTCAAACATCATCATAGTGTTTTGCTTGTTGTTTTTAACTACTTTGGGCCATTAAATAGCATAGCATCTCCAAATAGAGTGTCGGACTCTCCATCATGTGACTGCCTGAGGTTCAAGATTCCTACACCAGACACTGGAGGGGTTAACTGAAAATCACCTTTAAAGAAGATATAACTTTCCAAGCAAGTTGTAAGCCAAGCCAAATGCACTTTGGGCCAATAATGGATGTCTTTCTCCTCTACAGTTGCATTTGAGCTCAGCTGTGTGTGCTCCTAGGCATTTTGCAGAGGGGACCTGTCTGTCCGCCGCTGTGAGCAATAATGAGGGCATGGCTCTTCATTCCCTGTTACCTGGAGCTCGTTTTCTTTTTCACTTTTTGTTTTCATGAGAGGAGTTGTTTAGGCTTCTTTGTTATAAATTATTTTACAATGCATAGAGGGCCTGTAGATACAGGTTTGTGAGATGTGATAGAACATGTGCTTAGTGTGAGTGAGGCCCAGGATTTAATCTCCAACACCTAAAACAAAATAGAAACACACACACACACACATACACACAAACTAGACAACAACAAATGGTAGAGGAGAAATTATAAGGTACAGAGCTAAATGTGAGGGGAGGAGATTAAATATGTAGTTGTGGGTTTTTTTTGTTGTTGTTGTTTTTTTGGTGTTTTTTTTTTTTTTTGGTCTTTTTGAGACAGGGTCTCCCTGTAGCCCCAGCTGTCCTGGAACTCACTATGTAGACCAGGCTGGCCTTGAACTCACAGAGATCCGCCTGCCTCTGCCTCCCAAGTGCTAGGATTAAA